AGAAAAAGTAATATTTTTAAATTTATTATATATGAATATATATAAAATTTATACATTTTTACTCTTTTTATTTTTTTTAAAATTAATATTAAAAAATTAATAAAATAATTTATAAAGAGAATTTGTGGAATAACATGTAAATGAGGTTGAGGAGCATCGAAATATCATAGAATAGTCGAAAGCTATTCCTAAAATATAAATATACGGACGCATCATGTGGGTGTCTTTATGTTCAATTTTCAAACTTTTAACTCACATAGCATACATATAGCTGCCCTTTTATAGAGTAGAGTCCTATAAAACTGCGGGCCCCTCCATGGCACCCAAAATGCCACATCATTCCTTTTCTTTGATAGAAAAGTTATGCCTCCCCCTTGTGCCTGCTTTTATCCTACCATGTAGATGCTCCAAAATTAAAGCACGACCTAGATACCTCACAATACAAGCTATTATTTTTTTATTGTTAAAAATAAGGAACAACGAACATAATAGGGGAAAAAAATAAGTAAGATTAGTATAAAATATTATATCTTAATTTAAAACTTTAAAATTTAAATTTATGAATCTTTTTTTTATTATTTGTTAGTTATTAAGTTTAATTTCATTCGATGTACTATTTATCAAATTTTTATTATCCTAATTTTGCAAGTTTCAAATGGCATGATGCACATAATTCCTTATTAAAGTCAAGGCTAATCTTATTTTGTAACTCAAACATGGATACAATAATAGGATCATATGGTCTTGTGTGAAATCTAATTCTAATACTACCGGAACAACCTAACACATAGTATTACAACGTTGTCAAGCCTGCATAAAAATAATCCTCTCAGCATTCTTTTGTGCATCATATCAACCATGACATTTTAAATAATTTTTTGCACCATAGAAAAAGAAAATTCTATGGTAAGAAGTAAGGGTGTTCAATCTTGTACAATTGCACTTGTCCCAATCAGCTCGAATCTATCTTGATTATATTGACACGGGTCTTTCCGGACTCAAAAAAAATTAGGATAGAACTTTGCTAAAGAAGATGAGAAAGGGGTTTAAGACACAAGATTATCATCGGAACGTCTCATCCTTCAATATTATATATATTTATATATTAATTATATTAATATGACTTATTTTTATATCTATCTATTTAATAATTTTTGTTTATGTTGTTTTTCTTACTTTATTTTCTAAAAAGTTACTAGTTTAACATATTTCAACCAAAGAAGAAAAACAATTACTCAAGGTACGTAAAATCGGACCGGTCATTGAACCGGTTATAGCACTGGGTCACGGGTTAGTGGTTTAATTAGGGTTGAATCAGGGGTTGAACCGGTGGCAAACTGATCATGATTAAAATAATATAATTTAAATAAAAAGACATTAATTATACAAATATTCAACTAAATTCAACCACTCAAGTCTAACAGTAATAAAATACAACATTTTAAATATCTATCATTACACTTACAACTCTTCAATCTCAAAAGTCTAGAGAAGAGATGGAAATAGAGTTGGAGAAGAGACGAAGATTGAGCTAGAAAAAAGACGAAGAGTCAGAGACTAAGCTGGAGAAGAGATGAAGATAGCAAAGATAGAGATAGAGCTGGAGAGGAGATGGAGATAGAGCTGGAGCCTGAAGAAGAGACGGAGACTAAGCTAGAGAAGAGACGCTGATTAGGTTAGGGTGAAAGAGGAGAGACACAGATGAAAGGCCGAACTAAATGCTGTCTGAAAATCTGAATTGGACTTAGCGTGCTCTCTCCCTAATTTTTTATTTTTTGACTTTAGTTTTACTTTTTTTTTGTTATCTTATTTCTAAATTCAGCACTCTGAAAAATAAAAAATTAAAAAAATTCTAAAAAAAATAACCCGGTTAACCCAGTCAACCCACCGGGCTATACCGGGTTGAACCCGGGTTGACCGAGTTGCACCGGTTTAGGAGTAAACCCAGACCGGACAAGGGATCGGGTCATCAGTTTCCGGGTTGACCCGGCCGATCTGGTCCGGGTTTCAATACCATGCAATTACTTGATATTGTGCCGACTTGTCTGTGGTTGTTTGCTCTTACGGCTTAAGGATCACTAATAATTACTATCATAATATATTTGTTTCATGTATGCTTAACTTTAAGTTGTACACTTGTGGTTGTGATTAATATAGTTCAATAATTAACTTTAAATTGTTGTGGTTTATGTACTCGTGTTGTTTTATTTTTAAATTTAATAAGTTATGTGATTTAAAATTTTAATAAATATTATTATCTAATCTTTTTTATCATATTGTTAGCTTTTATTAGGACACCATGATGTCCTGATCTCATTCTAATCCCGTCTTGATTTCTAATAAGACGAGATGACTTTTGAAATGAGATGCGATAAAAGATAAAAATTTAGTCTCAATTATTTTTCGGGATGAGACAGGGAATTGAGGTATCTTAATTCTGTTCCAACCTGGAGGCACCAGGAAGAAATAAGTTTAAGGGTGTGGTTAACATGTTTGGTAGCATTGAATAATTACCATGGTTTGAGGGAGGTGTGAAAAAGTTATTGAAGGGTCACATTGGCCAGCGATTGAGTGACCCAGTTTTATTAATTTAAACTACTTTAAGGGAGACAAAATTTCTATTTCTTATTAGCAAGAGGTATTTTATAAAGAAGAGAGAAGAGAAGAGAAATTGGAGAAATGATGTTTGTGGATATGAAGGCGGTGGATGTGAAATAGAGGGTTTTTTTTTTTTTTTTAATGAGATGTGAGATAGAGATAGATGTTTGTTAAGTGTTGTAAGAGGAGGGACAACAAGCAAAAATGAAATGGGCAACACCAAGAAAGGCTAACATGTAATATACGGATAAAGGGCGACCGGAAGGGGTTGGATGCCGGAGGATATATTGGATATATTATTTAGAGGATAAGGTTTATATATTTAAAATAGTTTTATCAAATTAAATCAAGATAGTAAATTTTAACGTATTAATAATATGAATAATAAGAATTTATTATAAAATAACTAATCTATAAAATATTGAATGCTTGATTTAATAGGAAACAAATACCTTAAATATAAGACTAAATATGAAAGTTTTTCTTCACTTGAACCCTATTATCTCCGCATGCCTTATTTAACATGTAAACTCATTCAGGATTATCATTTCTTTCAATCATATCACCTCTCCTATACTAATTGCTTAATAAGAAAGTGATTAAAAGATATATAGAAAATTTTTAAAAAATGACGAGAAATGAAATGAAACTGCTTTGTTGGCATAACAAATAAAAAAATTGAAACTGATTTGAAATGTTCCATGCGGGTCAATTCAACAATACGATTACGAGTTCTTCTAGTTCCGGTTCAACTGGGTTCAGTGAACTGTTAATTCAAACATAACAGAGAAACCATGAAAAGATTGTGAGGTAGACATCGCACCATTCCATATTGTAATTGTTCTCCCCTCATGGGATCCTAATGAGAGAAACGAGTCATCATTATTTATAATTTAATGAATTTATTATAAATTAATATTCATATATTGGTGGGCACACTTCTCCTCATGACCCCCTTCTCGAGGCTGCTCAAGCTACAAGTTTCTTCGCCTGCGCTATTGGTCAGCTCCGAATATTTAGGATGCGGGGTTTTGTGTCCCCCGATATACAAACATGCCAAGCCCAGGTAGGTGTTGACCCGAGCTCTCTTGGCCCAGAATTGATCTATCTTGCCTTTCCAGGCCAACATTATTAATTGGGCTCGCATTGTGCCTCTTATTTAAGAAGGCCAGAATTACCCGGGAGTCATTTAAATCCCAAATGACAAGGAAAGGCACACAAAAAAGTGCGAAGAAGCTTGATTGTGAAAAATCACCATGTTGGCCCTTCAAATCAATACATTAGGGTTGATTTTGAACGAGGAGAGCCATGAAATCAACATGCGCGCGCGTGCATCTGTGTGTATTGGAGATGTGTGAGCCACTTAGGAACGAGGGAGCACGGGTGGTCTCTTCTAGTGGGAATTTAAATTTTAATTCAAAAAATGAGTTCCTTCATTAGTTCTCAAATTCTTTCTTAAATCCAAAAATTATACTCCACCCAATTATTAAACTTTTACCTTTTAATTCTCAGTAGTTCACAATTGAAGCCAAATTTTCTATATGATTCATCAAATAAATTAATGTATTCAAATAATTTGCTGACTTCAAATATTATACTTATTAACTTGAAAAGAGCAACGTGGTGAAAAGGAATTAATTTTAATACGTATTTATAGATTGGAAGAAGAATTGTTTCATCAGCCAAAAAGGTTTGAATTCATAATTTATGAATACTCCATCTTATCCTTATTATATAAGCTGGTTTCAAGAATCTGAAAGGAAGAACTATTGTACATATGAAGGATCAGACATGAATGTGATATATTATAAAGGATTAAGTAGGTGTTGATTTTTTTTTAAAATAAATACACATATTTTGTGACCTAACAAATAAAATAAGTGTATTTAAATAATTAAAATACGTTATATCTGAACAAAATTAAAAGAGAGAAATCACATTGGTTTAAAATAGGTTTACGTTTAAACAAGTGGTGTTGCTGAAATAATGATGAGCCTTTTCATGACAAAACGTATTAAATCATGCTTACTTGCTTTATAAAGTTGATGGAATCTCCTTGATGACTTTTCTTCTCTCATCTTGTTTCTTTATAATTTGTCACTAATTACTATATTATTTGTATCAAGTATCTGAATCAACAAGTCGATTAACCCTTCTCTTTTCTGTTTTTTTTTTTTTTTTGGCCAGCAACCCTCCCCCTTTCTGTTTAATCTAAAATTGTTTCATGGGGAAAACGACAACATGGTTTTTACTCAGAATGATTAATATAAAAAAGAAAAAAAAAGGAGAAATGATAAAAGGAAAAGATGGAGAAAAAGGTGATTACTGGTACAGACTCCAGGGGATCGAGGTGCCTCCCCGTATAGGTGCAGTCATAATTGGTGCAACAAGCTAAGGGCGGCTTGCGAAATCTGGAAAGGAACATTGTCCACGTGCCCTCACCTGCTTCTCTCTCCGCCCTCCAAACTCTCACTCATTTCTTCGGTGAGCTTAATTATATGTATAAACCTCTAGTTCCGCTCTCATCAATTCTCATCCTCCTCCTTCTCATGCTTATTTTGCGAGCTTAATCTCTGCCAACAACCTTGCACTCACCAATTACAGTAGTATCAGTTTTCATCTACACTTTACTTCACATGCTTCTTCAATTATGCAACTTAACTGGGCGTGACTGTCTCCTGCTTGCGTTATGCTAATCAATATTCTTCTTGCGGGTTTCGCTGTTTCCCTACGTTTGTGTCTTTGTTGCATTTAATAAACCTCCCGGTTACTTTACAGGCCGAGAGAAATTCTGATTTTTGTGATCATGGGTTGTGCTAGTTCCAAGGAAAGCCGATGTCGCCATTGCAACGCGCCTTATTCCCCTGTTCCGAGAAGCTACTCAGTGCACGTCCATCACCCACCTCAATCCAAAGACGATAGCTATCATCTCGTGGGGCTGACCTCCACCACGTTTGGTTCGCTCAAGCTCGATTTGAGCCACAAGGCTTTTGATCACGGTCACCAGAATGGTATCGGGTTTTCCAATGGCGATTTGCAGGAGAGCGAGAACAATATCAGAGAATTATCGAAGGGGTTAATTGAGGCCAGGACATGGTCTGATAGCATGGATCAGAAAATATCACAAGTTGTTCCCAAGACTCCAGCAGAAACGCCTGCCGGAGAACCAGAGATGATCAATACATGGGAATTAATGGAAGGCCTTGAAGACACGAGCCCTTTCCGATCGCCCAATCGCTTCCGAAGCTTCTCTTTCGATGTCCATTCCCATCCCGTTCCTGCTCGTGATGGTGAGCACAAGCCCATGTACATGTGGCTTCAAAGAACAGAGGATGAGCCGAGCCTCAAGTCCAACACATCAGATTTTGCCCCTCAAGCGATTTCCTCGTCCAACAAGTCATCGAAACTAGTGTCTCCGGATATCCCATTTCACCGTCGCACACTGGATAGAAATAACTTATCCTTTGATTTCACTGAAGAAACCAAAATCAATGGTGATGTTATTGATTTTGAGCCTCTGTCGTGGAGGAAGGACAGGTTGGTCCTGTATTTCACGAGCCTGCGCGGGATAAGAAAGACGTACGAGGATTGCTGCCATGTGAGGGTCATTCTGAAAGGATTGGGTGTTCGAGTGGACGAGCGTGATGTATCCATGCATTCTGGGTTCAAGGAGGAGCTCAAAGAGCTATTAGGCGATAGATTTAACCGGGGAGGATTGCCGAGGGTGTTTATTGGAAACAATTACATAGGTGGAGTTGAGGAAATTGGGAGATTGCATGAGGATGGACACCTCGAGAAATTACTTGATAGTTGTGAGAAGATCAATAAGGGTGAAGGAGTCTGCGAGGGTTGTGGAGATACAAGGTTTGTGCTCTGTGAAACCTGTTCAGGAAGCTGTAAAGTCTATTATGAAGGTGAAGAAGAAGACGGTGAAGTGGCAGACTATGGATTCCAGCGTTGTCCTGATTGTAACGAAAATGGACTAATCCGCTGCCCAATCTGCTGCTAATAATTCACACTTTTTACTTCCCATTGATGATATCTGAGAGAGTTATTCAATCCAATATTCGTGTTTAGTCTTCCGGGTTTTTCCCCCTTTGTTCTGTGAGTTTTTGTTGTACAGTGAACCTTTGAAATGCTGGATTCTAATCAGTATCTTATGAAAAAGAGGCTTGTATATTATTTACTTTAATTTCTTGCAAAACTAAGAACTAGAGAGTACAATTGTACTAGCTTCACACTCACACTCTTGCAATTCATAATTTTTTCTTCTTCCTCTCTTCAATGCCTGTTTTTTTTTTTTTTCCGAGTCTTGAGTTGATCCTACTCTCGGCTAGCAATTACAGAGTACACTCTGGGAGGTGGTGGGGTTTCTGAGCTCAATGCAACCACATTGTCTGTCTATCTTTTCGCTACAAAGTGCTGGCCTATACTCATTAAAGATAAAAGTTATCAGCTCACCTTTTTTCCAACCCCTATTACTATATTGGATTACAATCAGCAGGGTGCAGATGAATGGATGCAAATTTTATTAAAACATTTTTCAAATGACTTTTGTTTTTATCAGAAAAAGTGTTTGCTTAGTTATTTTGTTGACTGAACTCATTTTCTTCTGGAGCCTACAAAACAGTCGCAGAAGATCTATTTTATTTTTAGTGCTTAACAAGTTTCACAAGGAAGCGGCCACAGTTCTTTATTATTTCCATGAGGATTCATTCTTTGGATGTTTCTTTTCACCGTTCTCCGCAGCCGTTTTCGTTTAGGCCAATAGAGATTGAGTCCATGGACATGGGATTGGTGATGATGTAAACAAGGGAACTGAACCATCACAAGCGGATGCTTCTGGACTTGAACGATACAAATCAGAGAGCCCGAGAAACACTTTCATAAATCTATCATGAGAAACTAACTGAATTATGTGGAATAATTGATGAAATAATGGATTTGAATTTCAAGTGGTGCCATTTGCAAAAGGACGTAGTCACTAAGCAACACCAAAATGATACAGATAAAGAGTTCCAAACAAGCTAACTCAGATCTTACCCACTTGTGCCCCATTTTTCATCATGGTAACATATGGGGCCTGTGAAGGCGGATAAAATCTCAACACATGCTACGTGCATTCTTGCAATCTAATCAAAATCATGATAGGTTTGCAAGTGCTTCATAGATTAGATAATTACTGGCACTAATTATTGAAGTGTGGTGATTTGTGACGCTATATTTGAACAACCCTGGGTGGATATGTCATGGCCCGTTATTAATATCCCTGATTGAAAATCCGATAATATATGCAATTAAATCATTAAGTGTTCCGTCTTTCTAAGATTGAGAGTTATATCAGATAGGCGTGCTTGTATTTTGTCGTTGCCCTGATCAAGGCAGATGAAATAATGAAATGGTCAAGTAAGTGTAACTTTCTCATACATACCAGACCTTGGCCGGCAGCGGCAAAGCCGAAACATAAAACATTAAAACAATAATAAATAGTTTAGGATAACTTAAGTTGGCCCATATGCCTTTAATAAAAGAGTGGATAGGTTAATTACGATTGGCATATTAACATCAAATAGTTCTGATTGTGATGATCCATTTAAAATGAGGTGGCGAAATCAAAGTCCAGTGAGTTTGGTTGAAGCCACAACAAATCCGGGTCATTACAGTCTTCCATAATAGTAATACTCAGATTAGTCAGAGTTAATTACCTATACTTTCTCCGATTACTATTATATAAAACAAAATATAATAAACTTCTTGTATCTTTCCTAGCTTTGTTAATCTCTAGTTCTTGTCTCGAAGTAAACCCCTTGCTTGTAATGTTATCCTGATTGGAATAATATTCACCTTTCTTCTCAGAAATGTAATAAACTTATAATTTTCTCTCTATTTAAATAAAAAAAATTTAAACTTGTGTTATATTCTTTTACATAATTAATGAGTTTAAATATGAATAATATTATAAAAACATAACCACTACCCATCAAATGACTGATAACAAGGACTAAGAAATCAATTTAGAAGGCAACCTATAATAAAAATTGGAGGAAGTATGCATCGAGAAAAGCTGTTAAATATAGTTTAGTTTATTAAACTCGTGCCAAAATTGTAATTATTATTTTCAAGACAATTGCCCCTATAAATGGTTTACCTTCTGACATAAATTTATTTATTCTTAATCTCCCTCTAATTAATAAGGAGTATTTATTGAAAAAAAATGTTTGATGATCTAATCATTCTAACACATGACTTGTTTAGAAACCATGTATGAAAACTTTTTATATTTTAAATAAATTATTATTTTTAATGAATACAAGATTTAAAATAAAAATAATCTGAAAATTGTCATTCTATTAAAAAATTTATATAAAAACACAAGTTAAAAATTCTAAATTTACACTGTTAAAATTAATTTGAAATGGCTCATATTTCATCATCAAGTTGAGCAGCACTGAAACTCGTATCATTCAAATGTCCCATAAGAAGAAGTACAGGTGTGACTTCTAAGATTGTGTTTACTAAAAATTTATTTTCCTTTCTCATCTACTTCCTCTATCAGTAGCTTCCTGGTGCGTCGGTTCACAACCAACCAGGACGATTCAGGTTCGAGAGATAAGAGTACTCCTCAGGGACCTCGCTTGATTTACTCAACTATGAGGTACTTTAAGGTGCCTTCGTTTTGGGCCACAGATTTTAGCCTTTGAGACCTTGGTCATTCTTTTTTTTTTTTTAAATAGTATAAGACTCCACGGGTGCTAAAAGTCATATCCTTTAAAATATTAAGAGTAAATGATAGACTTTTTTTTTTTAAACTAAATTTATACATACTTAGACACGCGATTATATGTACTTGCATTTTACTTCCCTTTCCTCCACACACGATTACACACATGTATGCATACAATTTAAAATATAAAATAAATTTGTCAAATGGATTAATATATATGTAGCACATATATGTAATTATTTTACCTTTTGCATGAATTTTCGAACACAATTAAAAATTTTAGTCATATGATCAAGGGTAACAAAATTGATATAATGACAAGAAATTATAAACTTACTATTTTATTATTAAAAAATGTCACGTGCCAATTATATTTTTATTTATTACCTCCAATACAAAAATATAAATTCCTAGATAAACTTTTCTTTACCTCAACCCCTGCGTAACTATTTCATATCGGAAGAAGATCAGCTTATCATCTAGTTTTGTTACCCTGCCCGCTTTATTGTTTTATTTATATTTTTTCGCTCAGAGAAGGGTTTCTTTAATCGAGATATAAAAAATATATATATATATATATATATATATTTTTATGATGCATGGATTAGGCATATGCCTTTCATTTATCACACGAAGTCTTAGAAATGAGTTACAGTAATTTGTCATTGTTGACTTATTGACCACCCATTAAAGGAAAAAAATAACAAGAAGACAAATTAACTCTCATTTGGCTTTAATTCTGCTTTTAAAATGTTTTTATTACTGGTTCAATTAATTAAAAAAAATGTGTATATGTTAGGAACAAGTCAGTCAAAGGCAAGCGATGGGAAGACGAGCTTAGCATCGATAAGGGATACAACTTACAAAGCATGGCACTTGTTTGATCAATCAGTTATTCGCCGGACAGAGTTAACGCCGTGAATGCGTTTTGAATTGGAGTTAGTCGTCAAATGTCAGCTGGTTGGTTCACGTGCGACCAAAAATGGTCCAATGGTTTTATACGTTTTCTTCTGTATCAAACATCACTGCTTTCTGCTGCGGCCTTCTGGTGTGAAAGCTATTTCATCACTAGAACGTTGCGGTTTCGAGACGCAGTGGGGAAATGACATTAGAAGGACCCTGAAGTAGATTATTATGAGGTACTTTAAAATACCTCTCTCTTTTACGTGGGACGGTTACTTATTCTCTGTTGTTTTTTTCAGGCCTCTTAATGGAGCTGATAGTTCAAATGAGTCGAATTTATTTAAATTGGGCTCTGCCACTCCCTTTTTTGAATCAAAAATGTTGCCCGCTAACCATTACCACACTGAGTGATGTTGTCTCAGCATAAAGATGTTAAAAGGTCTGATAATGTTTTTATTTAAGTGAATCATTGTGAGAGTAAAGGAAATTAGATTTTTTTTATAAGAAAAATATAATTATTGATCTTTTAATGTATTTTGGTATAGGTCCTTATATATATATTTTTTGTTTCAAATCCCTCTTGTTTATTCTATTGCAAGGTTAATCTTTATATGTCTATAAAGATCATTTGATGATGTTGATGATGTTAAATATGTTGACGTGTGATTAATGCTTTTAATATGAGCTGATATGAAATTATAGTTCAGTAGATTAACAGTGTTGTTTACTTTGTTTTGTGTTTCATATTTCAATTTATTGAATCATAACTCCCCCTCAATGTAACACATCAAATTTTTTTTTTAAATAATTTAACTCAATCATAGTTGGGTTACAACCACCCAACACATTTTTATATCAATAATTTTAATATAAAATATTTTATAATTGACTTCAACTCACACACTATAACATTTTAAATAAATTTTTACCTTCAACATGTCATTAGGCTAAATCACATTTGTCCATCCTTATATTCCCAACAAGTAAACTAAATCACATTTGTCCATCCTTATACTCCCAACAAGTAAAATAAGCAATTTAGTCAATTTTCAACACAAGCCAGTTATTTGGCCTTATAATCATGCCATTTTAACCAATCCAAAGTAAACCAAATATTAAAATTACAGTCATCCAAATTGTACCAAAAATAGAAATAGTTTGAAAGGCATGATTATATTTATATATTCATATAATTGACAATAAACAAAAAGCCCTAATATTGGCAATATAACACATTATAAATCATAAATTAAATACCCAAAAGAGACAGTGGATCTATACCACTAAGCCTCTGGGACTCCTCCACGTGTCACTCGTGGCTCTTCTCCTGAAAATTGTTAACCACATAATGAGACTCAAAAGTCCCAGTAACCAAAGCCAATTTATAATAGTGTATACAAACAGTTAAGTGCATGCTTACTAAGTGAGAATTAAAAATAATATAATTTCAATAAATATAAGAAATATTACAATACACACAAACAACCATCCTTATATCTCTCCATTAACCTCGAGCCGTAGCCCTCACTCGGTGCTAAATTACCCGGCCAAAGGTAGATTAACCCGAGCCCTTACAAACCACCTATTGAGCTCCAATAGGGGCGTACCACGTGGCATATAAATACAACAACAATAGCAAGTCTCCCAACACCTCCCACAATAATCAAACAAATTCATAATAATATTGCACAATACACAATATTAAAAAAATTCATAATTTTCTCAATAATCACCCAATTAACATGAAGTAACACTAATCATAAATTAAAAGCATGGTTACCTTGTGGCTTTTTCAATAAATTATTCCTTAAAATTTCTCTCTCACCACAATCTTTACCAGTAATACAATCTACAAATAACATATTATTTATAAATATTAGTTTCAATTTTTGAAACTAATAAAATAATTCTAATAATGGAATTAAAAATATAACATAATTCTTAATATCAATCTTAATATAAATCTAGAGTTAATACTATTAAGTAAAATTTTTTAACTCCTCTTTTAATTATCAATAAACATTAATAATCTAAAAATCAACTTCTAAACTAATTTCTATTATCAAAATTTTCTTTTTATTTCATAAATTCATACCTAAAATACTCAAAAATTAAAAAATTGAGTCTCTAGCTTAGAATCATAATCCTATAATCATAATAATTCATTTCTCATCCCAATTAACCATCTAAACAACATATATTTTCAGATCTAGTTTAGAATTTGATCCATAAGCCACAAATTTAAAGATCATCAATAAATTTATACTCTAGAACATTTATTATACTACTGACAATCTCAAAAACCATATTTATTCAACATAAATTCATCCCTCTTTCAGATTTTAAATTTTCTACCACTACAAACTCAGAAACCAAAGAAGAAAGATAACTAAGAAAAATTTTTAGAACACTTACTTAGTCTTGAAAAGCTTAAAATCACACCCTAAATATCCTATTAAAAACTCTTAACTTAAAAATTTAGATATTTCGCACCGGCGACTCGCGTTCTCTCCACCTCAGCTCTCGCACAGGAAAAGAATTGAAGAAACGAAAGGAAACGGGTGAGTTTTTATAAAAATTTAGTGAGTCCCACATATTTTTTTTTATTATTTCTTCTTTCCTCTCTTCTTCTTCTTCTTCTTTTTTTATTATTTATACACATGCATGTGGCGGCCGAAAGTCTTTTGTTCTCCTCTTCTCTCTTTTTTTTTATTCATACCTTTTCTCTTTTTTTTATAATAGTAATAATAATTTAATAATATTATTTTTTAATTAATTAATTAATAATTTTTTTCAAAAATTTTAATTTAGAATTATATCTTAAGTTAGATTTAATAATTATTTTCTACTAATTTGCTTACCTCTAAATATTTTTCAAAATTTCTATTAACCCAAATCAATTATTAAAATTTAAATTGGGATGTTACACTCAACATAAAAATTAATAGTGTTAGTTACATATCAACATATTTAATATTATTAGTAACACTTTATCATTACTTTAAAACATATTCAAAAATAAAATAACTAACATTACAGATAGGATAAATCAGAGAAATATGAAAAAATTGTAAATAACTATATCAAAAATATTAAAATTACAGGGATTAATGATTGTATCTTTCTTTCTTTTTTTTTTTTACATATCAAGGATTTAAATGTTAAAAAGAAAATCTCATGTTGAGAAAGTTACTTTTTGTTATATTCAATAAAACTTGAATTAAATTAAGAACACTAAATAGTGTCCAGTTTTGAATGCGAAAAATTAGAGGAATTTTTTTTTTTTTACCCCCTTCACCTCAAAGGAAAGTAACTCTTATTTAAGAATGAGAAAAGTTCAAATTTGTCAGAGTAAAAAGTAAATGATAGCATCGGCGTTTGTGAAGTGGCATACAACCCGTCATGTTTTCATATATAATGCTATATCTGCTGATACCAGTCTCACCTTCGGCTTTCAGGGCATGTTCGTCCTTAACATTCCATGATGTCGCGGGTTCTAGACTGCGTATTCGCAGATATATACATATACACACATATGGGATGCTTCGCATCCTCCATGAGGTACTTTAAAGTATCTCTCTTTTGGGCCAGCAGACAGTGAGTCCATGGGCCATGACCCTCCTAAAACTTTTCTTTCCTTTGTTTGTTTTTGCTTTTTTATAAATCAAGATGCTTTTCGCCTTTTCCTTCATTCATATGGCATCTAATATAAAAACAATTCTGCACATTTCCTAGATGGATATATACGTGAAAGTGGTTGAATTTTTATTAGCTTTTCCCATTTTCTTGGTCAAAATACAATGAACGCGTAGTTTTCCGAATTAATGAAAGTTAACTCCTGTAAATAAAATGCCTCACAATAAAAGTAACAAAAAGAAAAATGGGCTAGGGATTTGGGTGGGGAGGGTGTGGCCCATGTGAAAGTGGCCTTGGAACAGTGAGGGCCATGGGGTTGTGGAGACCACAAAGAGGTGTAGTCATTTTCCTGTTGGAGAGGGCTTTTATTTTTCTTTTTTATTTTTATTTTTATACAGGCATTTTTTTATTAAAAGTGATTCTGTTTAAGGCATATTCGAGCATTGAATGTGAATATCTCTTTTAACAAGTATTCAAATATTAATTCACAATATTATGAAGATATAAGAGTTTAACTCTTTTCACTATATTTAACTCGTTGGTAACAAAAGCTTTATTATAATAATAAATGAATTTGTACAACTTGCTTTTTAAATATCTCATGGTGCGGATAACATTTCAAGTACAACATCCAACAATTCTTCCCCTCATATCAACTACCAACATATCTTGTGGCAACCCTCGCATACACACATCAGTGACTAGGTAACGTAATTAATTGTGTGAATGGAACAAGGAGGCCCAACATGGTTGAGGAACATTTCATGCCATTCAGATGAGATAAGATATTTGAAATTATGTGCCAAAAAATTGAAATTAAATTGCCTCGGAATTCTTTAAGAGATATCAATTTGATATTTCTCAACAACAAAAGCTACGGCGTTGAATTTACAAGGTTAATTAGATCTCGCATTGGAGGTAGATATACTAATTAGCGTACGTACAGATGATGTGTAGATCGTTTGATTTTTATTTTTCTGTTTTTTGTTTTTGGGAGCCTCTGGTACCCCGTTAGACTGTTCGAACCCAGAAACGTATGAAGCATTTGAATTTCCATACTACATTAGCTATAATTACGCTGTGTCAATTGGCAGCCGATTAGCTGGGACAAAACAAGTAAAAAACTTAACGTCCGTAAAACGCATTTCTTTTACTACAAATCTTTTTTTACTTTACCCATAAAAACTGAACGCATTTATTTTTCAATTTCTTGTTTCGCAATTTATTTTTTTAATTCTTTCATTATTTATTCTTAATTATTATTTTATCTTTATTTTTTAAAACAATTTTGAATTATTTTTTATAATTTTCTATTTCCTTTTATATATATATATATATATATATATTTTTTTTTTCAACTTTCACAATCAATTTGTTATGTAATTTTTTATTTCCTTTATATTTTATATTATTTTTTAAAAAAAATTATGTATAGGTCTTGTGGAGCATACTTATTTACAGATAAGTTTTGCAAAATTTAAAAACCATAACTTAATTCTTTGAGACCTAACTGTGATTTGAGGTACAAAGAAAATAACACCCCTATTAAAACTAATGAACTTACAATTGTAAATTATTAATGATATGGTTGTAAACAATTAGCATTAAATTTTTGTTAGTAATACATGATTGGTTTAACTAGTAGACATGTGAAGTTATAATTGTAAAATGTTAAAGTAATAGTTATAAATTATTTATGAGGTAGTTGTATATAATTAGTATTCAACTTGTGATGCATGACTATTTTAACTATTGGATATGTAAATTTACAATTGTAAAAAGTTGAAATGATGATTATAAATTATTGATAAAATAGTTGTAACTTATTTAATTGATGTAATATATTTTTAATATGGCATTATTATTTGTGCATCCCAATTTTAAATTACACTGAAGTTTAAGAAACTTGCTATAATTTTTGAATTTTACGGGTTTTATTTATAAATAAGTTTTTTCTACAAGCCATCTACATAATTTTCCCTTTTTTTTCCATATATACAGGTCTTTTCTATTTCATTATTTTGAATCTGTTTCATTATTTTGGTCCTTAATCAAGTTGTTTGTTCAAATCTCATTGTTAATACAATTGGATCTTATTGATAAACAATTTATAACTATTTTTATAAGATGTTTTTGAACTCAAAGGGCATTAGTCTTAATGAGTTTTAGAAATCCAACTGACTTGAACTTTTATCTTTATATATATCCAAAAAATGGTAATGTTAAATAATTAATTTATAAAAATGATTATTAAAATTTACACCACCCAAATTATTTCTACTGTTGAAATAAAATAGTGCATTTATTACTAATTAAAGTTGGCACAAGTGATAAGGATTTTTGTCATTTAAATAAGTGATTGGGAGTTTAAAACTCAGCCTTTGTGTAACTTGGTTGGGAGATGTCTGTCCGTATTTATAATATCTTTGAGAGAGATTTTTTGCCGTCGGTGAAGAATACCATCGTTGTTTACCTGTCCCTCTCGAAATATAAACGAAGAATATTGGTGTCCGATGTTTTCTGGCGAACCATTTAACATTTAAATCAAATCACAATCTTGCCAACACTTTCCGTCTAAGCTTTTCCGTTAACATTGTGAAAAACTTGAGCCCGACTTTGCCGACAAAATCTCAAGTAAACACATCTACAAAATACCATATATCTCAAATTATCTAATAGTCTGCCAAACAATCAATAATCTACATACATAAGCGAAAACTCTCGATAATTATATATATAATTATTACCATCAGTTACACATGCATGTCTTTTGCAATTCTGACACATACCCACTCCTCTAAGTACATTCGCTAATTAAAGCAGATCACTGGGAAAGCTTGATAAAAAGGAAACTCTACGTTTGGGTCATATATTATGTCCACAGAAATATATGACAGGCACAGATCAGTCATAGATAGAGCTAATACCAAATGCCCTAATTTTTATAATAATGAAACAAGTTTTTTACGTGCCATACGTACACCCCTCCACACTGAACTCAAAGATATCCCCAACTAAAATGGGAAGTACACATGCTTATATATGTGTTATATATATATATATATTCTTAAATAAATAGCGAGACATTACATGTTTAATTACGGATTAATGAGGCTCCTAATGATGGCAGCCTCGGCACTATCAGCATCGATTGTGGCCAACAACTGAGAGAGTCGCTGGCTCAAGTCGTCCACTTCTCTGTTTAAGCTTCTGATGTAGTTGCAGGTCTCTTGTAGGACCTTTGAAGCAGATACCTGCACCGCAAATTAATTAATGTCACTCCTATATCCTGTGTCCTTTCTTATTTCTGAAGCAATATATATTCCCAGTCCTCAGTTTCTGAGAAAAAATGAGATGTGTACTGATACATGCGTTGTGCTAGGACGACAAAGGAAGTTTCATTTCACGAAGGTCAAAACTACGGGCTGACACGGTACAGATCTTTTCTGAGGCCCTTCCCTTCCGGTTTTTGCGTTAGTTTTGTGCGCGCGCCCTTTTCATATTATATACATGAAAATTTTATTATTTCAAACTACTGAAAATTTATTTATAAAAAAAATATATTATTTGGGACAGATACAAGATGGACATTAAGTTTCCAAGTGCGAGATGAAATTTTCCACAACTAGACAGATGGCTAAATCGATGCCATGTACAGCAATGAATGGCAGTCAATGTGAACCCTCCTTTGACGTGTATCGAGATCTCTGCATATATTTATATTTTGCAATTGAATGGCAAAGTACGTCCTTAGAATAATATATAAATGGGCCAATTTTGGACCATCCGTAGGCATAAGCACATTTAATATATATATATATATATAGTTTAAAATAGAGAGTATTTATACAGGGCTCGCCATTATTCTTATTAGCTAGTTTCTGCGGCAGCACACAGTAGCACAGAATAACAGCATTTGATGCTCGTCTCTCTTCTCCTTGTTTGTATACAGTATGCAGTATGTAATTATTGTGTGCACGAATCAGCTAGCTATGAAGAATACTTTCATGACCTGTCAAGGAGACGAGAGGGAGAGGGCAAGGGAGTACCTTGTTAGAGCGACGAGTATCGCGAATCTCAGGAACAAGTTGACGCAACTTGGAGACAAGCTGGATGATTTGGTCATCGGAGATGGGTGAAGACCCTGATGACGATTGCTGCCTGGACCTTCTGCTAGACATTTCACTTTAGCTAAGAATGAGATTGCCTTTTATATATGGATATTCCAAGACCTTGAAGCCTCGCTGGCTGAGTCAGGCTAAGGCAGGCGAGACTAGGGCAAGATATATAGTAAGCTAGAGAGTAGGAGCTGTGGGAACGCAGAAAATGAAGAAAAGTGGAAAAGAGGAGAGAAATCAAAGGGCCACAAAAGAAGGGAAGAGAAGAGAGAGTCACGAGGCACAGTACAATTACAGAGACAGCGTTGTTGGATGTGAGGAAAACAATTGCAGTAGAGAGGGCAGAGAAAAGGACTAGGTGTGAGAGATAGCCATAGGCTTCTTCTTCTCTGTTTGTGTGTGTGAGTGTTCCCATATCGGGGTCTTATTTCAAGTGGATTTGTAGGAGCGTGCTTGTTTTTTACCTAACAATGTGGGCCTTTCCTGGACATGTCTCTACACCACACCATGTGATCATATTTTTGACATAAACATACATGCCAAACCACTTCCTCCATTTCACACAGTGTTCATATATGTGTGTATTGTATGTATAAAAAAAAAGTATGTCTAAGGTTTGTGCTTATTTTCTTCTAATCTCATAATTTCACGTCACGGACTTAAAGCTGCTTTATATTTAATAATTTAGCTTCCTTCACAGAATTCATGGCTAGCTCTCCTATTTGTGTAATTATACCTCATCACTCGAGAGTGATAAATTACATGGTAAACAGTACATTAGTCCCTCACAAGATGGGAGAGAAAGGTAGTAGTCTCACATTGACTTAGATGCATGCTTCTTTCTGACTTTAATATCCTGCACAATCATTATATTCTATATATATTCAAGTCACTTGGAACGAGATTAGCTGAGGAAGTCTTGAATTGAAGTAGCGACAAAGTAAATTAAGTGTTACTCAATGTTCATGCAACCTTTTCTGGCATATACATTAAAATATAGTGCAAGTTTAACTTAGCGTAACTGCGCGAGAGGAATCCTAGTTTAGGTCTCTTCTTGCTGTGGCGTGTGAGGCGTGAGGCCAGAGGTCACATGCTGCTTCCCTGGTTCACAAGGCACGCCACGTGGCATGTCTCGAGCCTCAGTACGAATTTATAATGTAATGGGAAGAAGAAATAATGGATTGAAATTGCATGGTTTTCCAAAACATGATCACGTGCAGGGTGCAGCTATATATGAGCTTGCGGGGACCTCTTTCATATATATTATTATTAATTAGATTTTAGCCCCTCCATTGTCCCCCAATCCCTCTTTCCAAAACCAACTAGTTAATTCAAGTTTGAGCTCATGTATAGATACAGCGTGGCACATATTTGCAGTTCTTTGAGTGGCAACTGTATCGATTACTCATGCAGCACCATTTGACATGGCACAGCTACTCGAAGCAGTGTGCTTATGCTAACGCAAATCATAAGGTGTTTGATATCCAGCACCGCTGCGTGGACTGGTCTAAGATAATATCCAAAAGCAGTCTCTCACCTATGCTAGATGCCCAAGGGCCCCGCTTATTTATTATATGTCTAAAGTACTTTTAAATTCTTGTTATCTATAAACACACAAATACACACACACACACACAAAGGTGGGGGTGGGGGTGTTATTGAGATTTGAATCTAAATCTTATTGGTTACTGAAGTGGTTCTAATATTATTGAAGAGGGAACATTAATGGTTCAAAATATTTCAAATAATCATAAGTTTTACTGTATAACAGGCAAGAATCAACGTCTTCTAGGAGACTCAACCTTGGAGACAACGAAAATGAAACCTAGATACATTTTTCTGGATAAGAATCTTGGGGAGATTTAAGGTTGAGAGGGACAGAACGTGCGAATCGAAAAGGAACAAAATGCACTGAAAATTATTTTTAATCACTTCGTGAAACACTAAAATTTAGTATCCAAGAAAAGGCTGTCAAGGTTGTTTCCTGCTTATTCCAGTAAACTTATTCAATGAGAAGTTTCAATCATCTTTTTCTCTGTTGAGGTCAGAAAAGGTTTCCTGCTTGCGATCCTAGAGTGTAGACTTGTTGAAACCCGACAAGAAGTTATTGGTTGTTAGAATTCAGCTGGAATTGATGGTGATGAATCACAAGTCCATAAAGTCATAATCGAAATCGAGTGAAAATTAAAAACCACTTTAAAAACTGTCTCGTCTCCTCATGGCAATGCATGCGCAGCTAATTAATTCCCTAATTAATTACTTCCTGTTTGGGCGATGAACACTTTCTTTAATTTTATTTATAAGTCACTTTCAGTATATTTTATTAAAATTAAAAAAATTTTAAACTTCATTAATTTTATCTTAAAATTTAACAAATTTTTACCTTTACTTCTAATAAATATTCTTAAATCTTATTACTAGTATTTTTATTTAAAACATTTAATAAGGGCAAAAATGTAAAAAAGAGTATTACAAATTGACAAATACTTTATAAATAGGATTAAATTTTTTCTTTTTTTCCCACCCTATAAATAGGACCAAAGGAGTAACTTAAATTAAATTTCAAGAAATTTTCAATCGAAATCCATAGGGAAGGTACTGATGCAGTATATATTGCCACGCTTAAGTGCTTTTGATCATTAACAGGCCTAACAATAATTCCTCTAATTAATTTCCCTCTTTATTGAAGACTAAAATTAAATACGACGGAAAAGAGCACTTGAATCGCCGACAATTAGTTAAAATTTGGTTTTGGAATATGCATGCGTCGTCAACTTTTTTCTTTAGTCTAATATAAATGCGTCTTTTTATGTTAATCATAGCATTGATCCAACTTTCTCGGCCTCCTGAGGATTTGATATTTAGTTGGTAAGTCTAACGGATTTTGAGGAACTCTTTGTGGCACTGACCACCATTATTTTGATAAAAAATCATTGCTTCATCGACCCAACGATTCTTAATTTTCACCAACCACCCTCGAGTCGTTATACCTACATACTTCCTTTGTTCTTGTATATAAAATATTTTTAAGTAAATTACACAAATTAATAAAAGTTGATTATCTAATTAAAAGAACAGTAATATTTTAATTTTATCTCTAATTATTATAAATAAAATATGAATCTCTTTTTACAAAGTAAATTAACGAGAGTATTCATATTTTTTTCTTTTTAATTTAATAAGAATATAATAATTCATTTATTAAAAAAATGCTAATAAAATCTTATATTTAAAAATTTTTTTTAAAAAACCTCTTATTTATAAGGACGGAGGGAGTGTTAGATTTATTATATTAAGTATGCTTAATGATAGTATACTCTATCAAAATAGCTTAAATCATTTAATTAGATATTTCTTAAGCTTTATATATCATGATCCATTTTCTAATCTTTTTAGATGTAGGACTTCTTTTTATACTCTAATATTCTTTCTACTACTTTTTTTCTCTTTGTCTTTTTAATTTTTTTCTTCTTCTTGCCAGGGCTTATACTTTTTTAGTCTCAGAGGCCTTAGATCTGTTCAATTTCTTTTCCTTTTTTCTTCTTCTTCTCTCTTTTCTTTTTCTTTTTTTTAACTTCTTGTATTTTTTTCATCTTTCGTTTCTTTCAATTTTTTCCTTTCTTTCTTTCTTTTTTTGTCCCCCAATCGAATGACTCATGATACCATGTTAGATTTATTATATTAAGTATGCTTAACGATAGTATACTCTACCAAAATAATTTAAGCCATCTGATTAGATACTTCCTAAACTTTATATATCATGATTCATTTTCTAATTTCTTTAGATGTAAGATTTTTTTTACACTCTGATAGGGAGCAGGTACTCTTGCTCATGGACTTTGTGGATAAAGAGGAGGGGGGGGGAGAAGGATTGAGGGGCATGCAAGATTTTCAGATGTTTCTTTCTTCCTCTAAAAGCTGATGAACTTGGAAATCAATTAATCAATTCAAGGAAGAGTTTTGTTTCCCCCTAGGGAGAGGACTAACTTTAATTTCAAACACAAATTAAAAAATGGAGGCATTCTGATTTCAAAACAAATAGTGGAATTCCGTTATTATACAAGGTGTGGAAGTGGAACCAATTTAATTTCCGACCATTTTTCCATGATCATGCATGATGACCTTAAACCTTATTATGGCATCAGGACATTTGATTTGAAATTTGCCAGTGGAAATTACTGTTGAGGTTGTCATTTTTGGAGTCCTATTCAATGAAAGATATTATGCTGTATTAGTCAGTTTCAACTCATTGGGTTTCGTTAATTATTTTTAATCAAAGTCAACCCTCGTGCATGATTTATGTAAACTGTTCGGTGAGTAACTCACGATTAATCATAATAATATTGTAAATAGTGACTTCTTAAATCTTATCCTTTCACCACTTAACAAACTTTTTTTTTTTTGGTAAAGACCACTTAACTAACTAACGTAGTGTGCTACTATATAGTTAAAATTACATGAATAGAAGATACCCTAGGTTGGTCCAATTAGAAAACTGAAAAGATATAAGCCAAAACGAAATAGGACAGCTGGTCTATAAAACGTATACGTGCACTGCATAAATAAATATATTATAATATTTATATACCCTCCTACTTCTTGGTATAAGACACTTTCTAGAAGTTTTATTTGGTCATAGATGTAAAACACCTTATAAATTTTTTTTTAGTCAAATAGACACCTTATAAAATTTGATGAAGCATTAATTAATAAGTTATTTCTCAAAATCTCTGCAATCCAACTAGTTCATTTGAGTTGCATGTTTAACTTTAAAATTTAAAAGTAAAGTTAAAAATTTTAAGGGTTAATGAGCATATTGAATTATAAATTATTATTTGAATAGCATCCTGAACTTTGAACTCTTAAAATGAGCATCCTAGACCATGCCGTTAATTTATATATAATTGCCATTACTTTTGACTCTATGAGGCCAGATCAAAAGTTAATATGGCACTAATCTCCTCTTGACACATGGCATGCTAGTTGGGTTACATAATAGTTAACATTGTATTGATAAACATTGAGGGTAATTTGCTCATAATTTACAAGTTGATGAGAGTTTTTGCTCGTATTAAGAGTTTAGGATAACCCTAATTTTAATTAAGGGTAATTTTGAATTTTTGTAGAAATTTTTGAAAAAACCAAGATATATTTTTAACTAATTTTAACAATCTTTCTTCATCCATATGATTTGATTTGAAATTTTTTTATAGATAAGACTAGACAGAGTATACACAGTTTTTTTTTTGGGTTAAATATAAGGATTAGGCTTTGTCAACAGTTGAGAATATCTCCCTGAGGTACTAAGAGCAATGATATGGGTAGACTTTTTATACAACACTGAGGTACTCCCTCCAGTCCTATTTATACGACATTTTTTAGGAGTAATTTT